GGTTGTAGATAAAAGGGAAGAGAACACGAACTACTTTTGGGAGAAAAGTTTACTTCTAAAGATAACTTGTACTACCCCCTTGGGAGAAAAGTTTACTTCTAAAGATAACTTGTACTACCCCCTTGAGAGCAAAGTTTACTTCTATTCCCTCAGTCATAATACCTACTTGGGAGTATTTTTTAGTCTAAAATTTTGGGAACCACTTAAGAGTTACTAGATGCTTACTCTCGAAAGAAAATTGAATTTTGAGTTTTTTTATACTTATATATCACTATCTAAAAAATGGATGATTTGTATTCAATCTCAAGATGTTATTATAGAGGTTACAATTAGAGATTTATTATTATTATTATTATTGAGGCTAATCTATGGGTTGAAGAGGTTACATCTTACCGGAGTGAGTAAATGAACATTCTACTCCCACAACTGTAAAATACCTTTCGGCAAAATAGAGAGGGAGTCCAAGGTTTAGCCATTTTCCCCTTTGATGGTTTTGATGGGCGAAGTCCACAAGGGTGTTTGATATGGTAGATTGTGAAGTACCACCATTTTTTTTTACTGTTGAGAGTGTCGTCATTTTTTTCCTTTTATCATCATCCTCATCAAAGCTTTTTTTCAATTAATTGGGGTTGGCTATACAAATCTTAATCCACCATATTGCTTTATTAAGGGCCGTACTCTCAATGAGGCCATAAATCTCCATATCTTTTCTCACTACTTCAAAATTGTGAAAAAATGATGTTTTAGAAAAAAAACAGATTGTCTTGGAACCAACTAGTAAAAAATACGAGAAAGAGAATCTATGATATACAAAGAGAAGAGAAAAATAAGGGATAAACTAGATGTTTTGGCTGTTACAAATGCAAAGCATCATTTTTACTGTAATTGAAAGGAATTACTATCAGCCCCTTTTCTCAATGGATGGAGCCTTCAAGGGGGTGCCTTTGGGGTCTTGAGGGATGTTTTATCTGTAATTCATGTTTAAATGGTAAATAATGTGGAGTCATAAAAATCACAAATTGGGAAATTGTATTACTTTTTTCTCCCTATAATCATTGGGTCTTTGATACTCTAGGAAAATTGCATATCTAAGTATGATCTAGTTTTAGAGTCCTGAGGTTCACAGTAAAGTTTCCTTTACACCATTAAATGGCAAAGCTCTAGTTATCTAACGCTTGTATTGAGAGAGCACGCAAGAAAATAGGATAGGGGCATTGGTAGTTTGGGGGGCGAATACCTCAACATAGCATCCTATCCTCCATTCACACCGTTAACATTTCAACATAAATAACAAATAGAGTGGGTAGGATCATAGAACTTTATGCTTTATGATAAAAAGAAAAGCCACACTTCATAATTCTATCGAAAAATACAGTTCTAGTGCCACGAACTCCTATGATGATCTGAAAATTTATTTTTATTAGATTATGGGATTTGAAGTTCTAAAAATAGTACAGATCTGATGGATATGTAAACATTTGTAAAATGGTTGTCTAAAAATGTTGCAAGATATAATGCTTTTAGAATTTGATTTCTTTTTTTTCCTTTTTTTTTTGTATAGATCCATAATTGTCGGTTTTTAAATGATCGATTTGAGGATTTTTTTGGAATCAAACTACATTTTTTGGCAAGGTTTTGAGGTGCAGCTTTACTTTTTATCATAAAGCCTAGACGGTATATTTTCTAAGATTAAATAATAAGTTTTTTGCAAGAGCAAGTTTTAAATGACAATAGTTTAAAGAGAGAAGAAGTTGCATATCTCTATAGGAATATGTGTTTGATAATTTTCATTTCAAATTGAAAAATGCATGAAACAAGGTGAATGTAAGATACTAGAGCCGATTCCTGATTCCGAGAGGTAATCGTAGGCACTAGGCACCCACCAAATTCCTTATGTATTGCTATTCCAGATTGGAACAGTAATTTTCAAAACCTAGAAAATAAATATTGAAGACTCAAAATCCAATTTTGTCTCTAGAAATAATTAGGTGATGATTCAATCCAAATTTTCATAAAAAGGTCTCCCAGAGTAGCTCTTTCTATACACTATGTTCCTATGTGATCATGTCAATGTTTTTTTAGGTATTTTTCTTTTCTTGTAAGGTAATCATCACTGGCAATGGGCTGGGCCGCCCTATCTGGCCCGGTCGGCTTGATCCTAATAATGTAGGGTCTGGGCCATAAACTGTAGTTTGAGAACCGGGCTAGGGCCAATGGTTACCTGGTTTGCCCCTACCCAACCTTTTTTTTTTGTTATTTTTTCTTTTATGTTTTCATTTATTTTTGGCCAGCCTGGGTCTTGTCCTATGAGGACATGGATCGGGCCAGGGACAATGCTAACCTGGCCTAGGCCTGCCCAATTGCCACCCTTACCCGGAGCCAAGCCGACTCAAGGACGGTCCATAGTTAGCAAGTCTTCGTTTAAAATACGATTGTTTAAAAAAATCCCCGACTTTTTGAAATCTATTAAGAATTTCGAGTTTTTCAATAGATATTCAAACATTTTTATAATGGAACCAATATAAATCGATATTTTATCTCTTTTCAAACATACTTATGCAGTTTGTATAGAGCCGAGGTTCTAAACAATCAAAGTAAAGTGTACCTAGAAATAGTGTCTAAAAATGTGGTTTCAATATTGGAAATCTATTTGACAGTCTTAAATTATATTTTCATCTTTAATTATAAAATTAAAAACTTCATAAATAATGTAGATCGAGGAGATCTATGAAAACTTGAAAATTTACGGTTCAAAAATGCATTACAAGATACACTATTTCCAAAACTTGAAATTCATTTTTTTCTCATGTCCATGTATTTTGATGATGAGATGATCAATTTGATGATATTTGGGCATCAAAACAACCTCTTTAAGTGAAATTTTTTAAGGTGGGCTCTAATTTGGTTGTTTTGAACCTCGGTTCTATATAAACTTTTTCCTTAACTTAATAGTATTAATTTTGATTGAAAGATAAGCACAATAAGTAAATTAAAAATCTTAATTAACAAAACAATTCCATAAAAAAAAATCACCAATAAGTTCCCTTTAAAATAATAAATGAATAAACTCCAGCAATATATTCTCTAAAAAATAAGATATCAAAACAATCATATATATCGAAATGATAAGTAGAGTTAGAAGAAGAGTTACCAATGAAGAATCTTTTTTTCTTCTTTAAATCTAGAACATCCTTGTAAAGAGCAAGAGCGAGATTCAAATATATTAAAGATTTAAGAAGATACGAATTCGGTGTGAGATTTGATAAATTTGATTTTATTTTGTTTTTTTATGTTTTCATTTCATTGGTTTATACAATATAATATTTTGGATGGACCGCTATTTAATATGTTTGGGTTTTTGTTTTTAGTTTTAGTTAACTGCGATCTTATCCTGAGGGACTGTTTTGTTTTTTTCTTTGAACAATAATCTCTACCGTGTTTGCAGTTCTTGTTATTTACTAATGTAGTTCTTATACTTAATATTATTGTTGTTGTTTCATTTTATGCTCCCAATAAATATATGATTTGTTACGATAATAGAATAAGCATTATTGTTGGATTTATTAAAAGAAAAAGTTTATATAAGGTTGCAACCTTAAAATGTAGAATTAAAGGTGCACCTAAAAAATCCATCAGAAAAGGTTGTTTTAATGTTGAAAAACCTCTAATTGATCATCTCCACATCAAGATGTATGAATATGAAAAAAGAAGAACAAGATTTTGAGTCCGATAAATAGTGCATCTTGCAACACATTATCTAGACCGTCCATTTTCAAGATTTTCATATGTTTATTGATCTACTTTATTTTAACAATTTTTGGAGTTTAAAATTTTATAATTAGATATGAAAATACATTTTGAGATAATCTTAAGAATTTTTTACACCCAAATTATATGTTATAATAAATGTTTTGGAGGTACAATTTAATTGGATTGTTTAATATTGCAACCTTATAAAAACCTCACCTTTTTTTAATGTTTCAAAAATAAATTGTTAAGTAATACTCTAATAACATCAGGTAAGGCAACAACATTATTGTTCAATAGCTTTAATGTATCTATAAAATAACTGCAAATTATTATCCTATATAATGTCAAACTTTATATATCGATTTTTTCAGTATGTTTTTTTGAGCCAAATCTAAAATATTCACAATTTTATATAGTACCTTCTTTTTTGGCGATCCGTATTTTCTATTCGATTTTTTTTTACGTATTGAAATAAAATCAATTTATTACCAATTATATTGGTTCGTTGATATATTACTATTCCCCCACTTGCTAACTATAGGCTGGTCAGGCATATAGGTGCTTTGAAAAAAAGATGCGGTTAGCGTGCGGGCCAACCCCGCACATGTAGAAATGTGGGAAATTATCAGAAATATACATATTTTTCGCCTAATTGGAAAAAACTTCTCAACTTTCATAAACCTGATCCACACTATTTTTCCTCACTTTTGGTATTTTTTTATCAAAATAGCTTTTATGGTAGTCTTTTTTCTCAATTTTGACTTTTTTGACCAAAATAGTATTTACAGAAATCATATTGCCGTAATGATTACCACATTATAATATTTTAAATACCGTAATGACTAATGCATTATGGTATTTTAAATATTGTAATGACCGGTCAGCTGTGGCAAATGAGGGAGAAAGAGACCCAGTGAGCATTACGGTATTTAAAGGGACTGTAATGCTTAGTCTGGTCATGGTATTTTGATAAAAAGAATGTCATTGAAGAAAACAAGGTGTAGACGAGGATGATAAAAGTGATGATTTTTTTTCTACTTAGATGAAACTTAAGGTATTGTTTTGATAATTTCTTATCTATTTTTTAGATATTTAATTTTTAAGAGTATGTAATCTCTAACCTGGAGATCTAATATGAAAAAAATAAATAAATTTAAAAAATTAAAAATAATAATTCTACTAAAAAGACATTTGGACAGATAGTTTCGATTGGATTTAAATGAACACACTTTATACTGAAGTACCGCATATGCAGAAAAGCGTTCAGCCCGGATGAAACAATTTTCACCATACACACTGTAACAAGCTCATTTTCCATAGCCATATCGTCATGACGCGAAGCAGGATGGCCTTCTCTCCTGCTCTCTCTCTCCTCTCAACCCCCAAACTCCGCCCACATTCCCTATTCATCTCACCCCTAAACTCCACCTCCAAACTCCATCCCGTTTTCCCTTTCCTCTCACCCTTTCTCTCCCTAAAACTACTCAGACCCATTTCATCCCCACACAACCAGAAACCCAGAGTAAAACCCCTTTCTCTCTCTATTTCTGGCGACTCCCTATTGGTTTTTCAAGATGGGTCTTCCTCTTTGCGTGAAAACCGCTCCCCTTGGCCTGAAAATCACTCATCCGACTGTTTTTTACCGGAAAACCACTACTCGGGCAGTTTCGTGCCGGAAAAGCGGTACTTGGAGTGCTCATTGCCTGAAAAAAGATCAAAAGTTGCAGTTTTAGTGAGTGGTGGGGTTGATAGTAGTGTGGCTTTGAGGCTTCTCTGCTATGCTGGCCATTCTTGCACTGCATTTTACCTAAAAATCTGGTTTCAGGTGAGCTTTGAATCCGTAATTTTTCTCTTTAGATTGAGCATTTACTTATATTTTTTTATATGCTTGTATTAATTTGATTTTCTAGTTGGCAACGATTACTATTCAAATATTTGTTTACGCATCCTTTTTTGTTAGTGTTTTTGTTGTTTTTTGCTCGTTATTATTAACCTTTTAATTTGCATTGACTTTCACAGCTACGTATTTTTAGTTGGTGAATATTGGTATTGTTTTTTTATTCATGTTAATGAGCTTTTATTTTGCTATTTTTTTTTTTTCCATTTGTCTCTTGTAATGCTCACTTCTATGCTTTTGTTAAATAAGTTACTCATATTGCTACTGTCATGGATTTGATTGAAGTATGTATGCTTCATTTTTGCTTTTTTTTGTGAACGATAATATCTCTAAATTAAACACAGGTCTTTCTTGACAAATTCTTTCGTCTTTTTATATCTTGAAACTTGCATTGAATAAATAGATTTAGGAGGTTAAATGCAGAATCTGCTCTTCCTCATTGTGTTAATCATCCCTACTTTATATTACCAAAATAATTTGAAAATGTTTTTTAACGATCAAGTCTTCGATAACCATCGGCATGGGATTGGACATGGGTGTCTTGGTGACACAAGGACCTAAAAAGATCCCGGATACAATCACCAGGTGACATGTTTGTATAGGCATATGAAACTATAAAAGGAAAAATATTAAAGAACTTTAAGAAACCTTGAGAATGTATGCCAATACTTGGAAGTGTTTGATTTTACTAGAAGGGTTGATGCACCTGGCGAGTGTCTTTTTCTTTTGGAGAAGTTATGGTGATGCGGTTGGCAATTCTAGAGAAGTATCAACAACATCGTTGACACTTACATTGAAGTGTCTGGCACTCCCAATTAAGTGGTGCTCTACACTTTCAAGTTTGATTTTAATACTTCCAACATGTAAGATTTAAGTATTGGAGAAATGTTTGGAAGCATTGACATGTGTTGTTGTAGGGATATGTGTTGATATGAAGCATGTAGGCAAAACCCAAGTCTCCAGGTAACAATATTGAAGAGTAATAAGCAGTGTCGATCTCTTAGGCTTCCTTCCTGTGTAGGAAAGTTTTACACTCTCTTCAGTGCCAGTTATTGTCTGAAATTAAGACTCTAATCTTACGCTTCAGCCCAAAAAAAAAAAAAACTTACATTGTAGGAAACATTCCTGGCCAGAAATTCCTCTCTTAAGTCATTTTATGGAATTTTCCTGGCCAGAAATTCCTCTCTTAAGTCTCACTGAATAACTCATGTATAAACCTTTGATTGAGCATTACGTGGCCCTTAATTCCCTCTGACACTCTTGTCGAGGTTGATCTTTAGTACGCTTTGTGGATGAGGAGCCCATTTCATTTGCACACATTTTGCTAATGAGTATTTCGTACTAAGACTGAAACATGAGCCATATTCTGCTTCTCAAATTTACACAAGACTCTAATCTGACTATCTGAGAACAAGTCAATAGGCTGTGGTGGCTTTTCTGAAAATGCATTTGTTCCTTCTTTCGAGAAACCCACCATACAATGGTAAGGATATTGGTCCACCAAACTGTGGTCTCCTTTTCTTCCCAGCAAATTCCTCATTTTCGTCATGAAAATTAAGAGATTCCTCCTTTTATTCATTCTGATGAGTACCCATTGATTTGCATGAGAAAGAAGTATATGCTGAATTTTGCCTATAGGTACATATAAGCAGAGACTAATACAACTAAGGAGGGAGAAGAGAAGATGATAGGAGAGGTGGGAAAGAGGAAAAGGGATCAAGTTCTTCCTTTCTGTTGCATGTATACAATCAATGGGAGAAACTCACAGTGAAATAAACTCTTAGGTCCTTTTGTTTGTTGGCTGACCAGTTAAAAGCTGCCGTCCCAGATGGGACCTCCTTTCTCATAGAGTTTCCCAGTGGCATGTATCCATCTAGATCTGAAACTTGTTCTAGAGTAGGGTTGCCTATTTTAAGTGATTGCAGAATGGAAAGTGACCACAATCAAATTGTATTTAATTCCATTTTTTGTGATTTTTGAGAGTATCTAATCCATTGGGAAACTTTTTATGGATGGAATCATCCTTTCCTACAGCATTGGTGGAAGCCCAAATACCAACAACTTTGTTAGACAGCTGACAGCAGTCCTGCTCACTCTACAACTCTGGATCGTCCATGCATGTGACAATTTTATATCTATAATTTTAACGGCTCAAAGTTGTTTATTATTATTTTTAGAAATGATCAGAACAGGAATCAAGATATGTTAGCAAACTTTCAGGGCCTAAAACTTCTTCTAAAGTGTTTTTTGAGCCTTTGTTGTAGAAATGGACAGCTCTCCAGTAGGTTTTTTCCCATCTAAGAAAATTAGGGTTGCTGTACTGTCCTAGCATGCATGCTTATTCTCTTATTTCTTTTATGCAATATGTTTCCCTTAGTTCTTGACAAAGGGATGAACTTTGACTTGTCTTTTATGTAGGAGGATTTTGAAAACTTTTGGTCCGCATGCCCGTGGGATGAAGATTTGAAGTATGCAAAAGCTGTTTGCGATGAGGTTTTTCCTTTCCCCTGTTGTTGTTTGCTGTGCTATCATATAATTAATTCTGAAGCACTTTTTTTTTTTTTATTATTACCAATTCTAGAGATTGTCATTGTGGATCGTAGGGAAAACCATAATGGCAGAGTTAATGTAAGAGGAGCCTTTTGTGATTGGAAATTATTTTTGATTTTTTATGATATATGGATGAAGAAAGCGAAATGCTTAATGGGAAACATTCCGTTTTTACGGATTAGAAACCAAAGTATGCATGGTACAAATGGAAGAATAATATGATTCTCCCAGTCCAATTTACTTATTCCAACAAAAATCACGAAGGATTATATCACCATGTTTCAACAAATATTCCCACCACTAATAAGAAACCACATGCATTTGAAATATTTGACCAGGAAACTAATTTCCTGTCAGATTATGTCACTACTCATTTTAGTGGGTTAGGCATGAAAATTCTGAATGGGGTTTCAGTACCTGATGAAACTATGGATCTAGATCAGAAGAGACAGCCATTACTTATATAAGATTGATCTGGTAAAGATGTGGTATGGTCGATTGGGTATTTTTGATATATATGATAAGAGAAAGGGTTTTCATAAGCAACAAGGCCATTGGATGACTTTATGTAGGTTGACATGTTTATCCATTATTATGAATAGTGGGACCTTAAAGGTTTACTTGTTCTAGAGGTTTAAGAAAAGGTGATTGCTCCCTCTTTTCTTCATTATCCTTGTTGAATCTCTGAGTAGGAGTCTTAGGTGAACCGAGGAGAGGGGGATGATTGAGGGCTTATTGCCAGTAGTTGCTATATGTGATCTCACTTCTTCAATTTATGGACAAAATCTTAGTGTAGTTGTGATTTTAAAGTTCATTTTAATTTGTTTTGATTGACTAATAGGAGATAAAGGTATTAAGGTGAATGTAGACATTGTTTTGATGGAGGAGACTAGGGCAGTGGGGGCTGCACGACTTGTTGTAACGATCAACTTTTTTGTTGGGCGCATGTGAAAGAAGATTGGATGTATGGAATGGGGAATTTCTTTTTGGGGCAGACATATCGATGTTTTTCATATTATATTTTATGTTCTTTTATGATAGCGAACAACGATTAATGTCCTTTAATATTATAGCATTTGACTTCTGTTAGAATGGCCTTACTGAGGGCATGGCCCTTGATAGAGCAGAATGGTGGACCAAGATTCGTGTAGTCGACCCCAAATAGTTGGAAAAAGGCTCTGATGATGATGATGATGATCACTTCTACTAGAATGGGTATTTGTACAAAACGTTTTGATGATTGCAAACCACTGTTGCTCAACGGACTCCTACCTGGGTATTACTGCAAGAAAGTTTGCTCTCTCTCAACGGACTTATACCTGGGTATTACTGCAATAAATTTTGCTCTCTCTCTCTCTCTCTCTCACACACACACATGTGTGTGCGTACGCTCGCATGCTGAAAAGACACACACACACACATGCACACAAGCCTGTTCCCCCTCCACACACCAACTCCTCCCAAATACCGCCAACACCCCCCCCAGCCCCAGCCCCAGCGCCAGCCCCCGCCCCCCTACCCCCTGCCCCCCTCTTCTCCTGGTGGGGGAAGAAGAAAGAAAAAAAAGAGGCCTTGCAATTTGGATGTTTTTAGAGAGGAAATAAGCATTCATGTTTAGCAATAACTAAAGATGTGGTTCCTTTCTGAATTCTGAGTTATTCAATGTCATGTATTGTGTTTATTTGTTGTTTTGTAGGACAGTAGGTTACCAGAGAAGCAATTAGTGGAGTCTTACTGCATATTAACATAGATATTTTATATCCCAAATTGTATTCTTACTCTATTGATCCTCCTAATTGGCAATGATGTGCCTCACTAGTTGAGCTTTGCCTTTGGGGGACAATTTTCTTTTAATAAAATGTTTCAAACATAGTGCTAATGCTCATATTTGGAATCTAGTTTATCAAGATGATTGCGTACTTTGTTCTTATACTAGAGTTGTTTGTGTAGAATATCTTTCCTTCTATGCATGGCCTTGGTTTTCCATGTTTAGCATCTCTTGAATTAATTTGTTTTCCTGCTTCATTCTGAATATAATGAGAGTCTTTTGTGATTCTTGGGAGAATACCCACTCACAATTGCGTACATTTTTAGAGATGAACAAGAAAAACTTACTTGCATTTTGGCTTGTTCATCTGCTAGGTTCATGTTCCACTAGAAGTTGTTCATTTGACAGATGAGTATTGGAATAATGTGGTATGTATAATTCTGCCATCTGTTGTTTATTGATATTTGTTTTGTGATAATGCGAGGCAATTTTATCTTTTAAATCTAGTTTCAGATTGTCACTCTGTAGATTAGTAAAAATCAAGTATGTTTTTAGTGTAATTTAAGGCTCGGATAGACTCCGTGGTCCCTTTCTTTAGAGTAAATACAGGCTATTTGCTCTTTATTATTACCACATTTTTGGATCTTCCAAGGAAATCAAGATCGAAGTTAATTTCATTAAGATCTAAGATATTTCTTCAAATGGTTGCCTTTTGCTTAGTCCACTGGTGTCGATGTTCCACAATTTCGATTTGAGTTTTTTCTTGTTCAAACTTGGTGAAATTTCTCTAATATTATGCTCTAGGTGTCTCACATTATCTCTGAATACCGAAGTGGCCGTACGCCAAATCCAGATGTTCTTTGCAATACAAGAATCAAGTTTGGTATCTACTGGATCAGTTTCTAAGTTAATTAATTTTATACCTGCATTGCATGTTGCTTGGTAGTTTTATACTTTTATCCATTGTCAATATTTAAGATCATTGTGTATTATTAACTACTAAGGTCAATCAGAATCTTACATGGTAATAATAATCTTCCATTTACCCCTTCTTTTTAGGTGCTTTTCTGGATGCTATAGGCAATATGGATTTTGATTATGTTGCTTCCGGGCATTATGCTCGTGTAGTTCATCCACCTCCAGATCAACCTGATGCATCTTCAGCCCTAGAACTATCTGCTGATAAGGTTTGCCTTATACTTAAGCTGGTCATAGGCCTGTGGCAATGCATACAATACACATCCTTTGTATAATATGTAGCACATAGCTGGGGTATCACTACCCACCGGCCATTCTCAACCATGGATGGTCGAGATTAACTGTAGTTCTCAAATATGGTCGTTTATTGGGAAAATGTTTAATCTCTCCATCTTCCATTGTTGAAAACTGATGGCAGACACCCGTACAGCTGTATGTGATATAGTGTCGCTGCATCAAGACAAGTTTCATGCCTTTTAATCACTTTGCTATGGTGTTCTTGCTCCTGCTGGTGGATTGTATTTGCAGATGTCTGGCATGTAGATAGTAATTATATCTTCTGTCCGCTTTATATTCTAACCATTTTTCAGTGCTTAGACCTATTTAGGAAATATAGACATTCTGAGCTTCTTTTGTGATTATTGTTTCATTTGTTCCTTTGTGCTTGATATTTTCAGGTGAAAGATCAAACCTACTTCCTTTCACATCTTTCGCAGACCCAACTTAATCGTCTTTTGTTTCCTCTTGGCTGTCTTTCAAAGGTTAGAAAGGCTACATAAGAATTCGTTCTTTGTTTACGTTATAATACTCAGCTACATTTAGTTTCTTTGTCTATTCATGTTTGTTGCAGGATCCACTTTGGCCTAATTATGGGGTAGCTTCCCGTTTTTCTTTTTTTTTTTTGCTCTTTGTTTTTCTCGAGCATTTGGTAAATTGTTGCACATGTTTTTTTTAATCTTAGCATGAGTAGTAGCTAGTGAAATGATCTCAAAATGATCTCCTTTAACATTTTTCATTAAATTGTGACTTGTGATTTATTTTGTGTCCACTCAATTCCTAAACTTTGTTTCTGTTTCCCAGGAAATGTTGCTACACAGCATTCTAGGATTATTCTGTTTGTCTCACATTCGAATAAGATGTAATAAATTCACTTGATGATGGGATCATCCCTGTTGCATTTTTTCCTTCACCCTTTCTCAATGTATAATCATATTGTTAGTAAAGTTGAAATGCCATGTTTCATATGCATTGTGTAATGCCGCTTGCCCTTGTAATCAGTTATGACTGATTGACTGCTAGTAGATTCTAGGTGATACATAGAGATTTTTCCAAGTGATCCATTAATAATGACATCATAAAATTTTAATTGTGAGTGTAAGGCTAATTAGTCATTTTGTTTTAAATAATACTTGTTGATGTTGTCATTGTTGTTATTGTTGGTGTTAGTCATTGTTCACCATACTTCGTTTTTTGACATTGTAAATCATTTGATTTTTCTTTATTTTAATTCTTTGTTGGGAGTCATATGCAGGATGAAGTTCGCAGACTTGCAGCAAAGATGGGTCTTCCCAACAAAGACAGGAAAGACTCACAAGGAATATGTTTCCTTGGGAAGGTGAATATCCTTATGAATTTCAATCTCGCCTCAGTAAGAATTCTGATATAATATGTGCAAGTGAGATCATTTTTCCAGCAGTTGGTTCATTCTAACTTTGGTTTTCATTTTCATTCATTTTAATGGTTGAGCATTCAACTGCAGTTTTTAAGATTTAGTTTGGGTCCTTTCCTATACACTTAGGGACATACCAAAAACAAATGAATGCTCACACACACACACATATTAGGATGGACAGAGTTAGGCCTGGCAATGGCACATGTAGCCCTGTCGGTCTAGCCAGCTAAGCCCTTATATGGATTTGGGCCAGCAGAATGGCCCATAAGGCCTGGCCAAGGCTGGCCCTGCTAATTGCCAGGCCTAGATGGAGGAGGGGAGCTCGTACTCAAGTTCTAAACCATCTCTAGTTATCTATCGTACTTGCTGGAGTTCATAGTGAGTACTTGCAGGTTTGTCTTCCAAGGCAGTCAGAAGTAATTTGATGCATGGCTTCTTACTTGCTTTTCTTTGGGTTTGGTACTTGATAGCTGAAATTCAGTGACTTTGTCACAAGACACATCGGGGAGATGGAAGGTGTCCTATTAGAAGCAGAAACTGGAGATTTCCTTGGGAAACACCAGGGTTATTGGTTCTATACAATTGGTCAACGTCAAGGCCTTCGTCTTCCTGGTGGACCATGGTAAGCATTTGCTAGCTATATGAGTTTAAAACAAGGAAACTATACTAAAAACTATAAACCAATGGAATATGGAAAACCATTGTCTATTGTGGTCATCAACATCCACTCAAATGATGGATGGCAAGGGAAAGAATGGGACTCTAACAGAATAGGACATTACCACATTTGTGAGTTAGGACATGACCGCAATTGTGGATCGCACTCAATTTCCACTGTGTTCGTTATTTCCTTGGAGGTAGATGACCTTTATGGAGGTTCCATTACTCCTTTGGATTATAATAAACTATCCTGTTACTGTATGGTTGGAAATGTCGCACAATATCTTTGCTCATGGAGCCAATTCAGGTGTTTCGTTAACAGTTAAAATTCAAGGTGATGTTTGGTTTTCCAGTGACATGAATGATACGTGCTTTTGGCAGGTATGTTGTCAATAAGGATATTGAAAACAATGTGATATTCGTATCAAGAAACTACTTTTCTTTTGATAAAAAGAGACGGAGTTTTCGTGTGGGTTCATTGAAATGGTTGTCTGGGGCACCTCCGGAGCACCTTGATCAGCTTCAATGCAAGGTAATTCCATTTACACTGCTAAGACAAGGGACTAATAGAACATGCGGTCATCTCGAGGTAGTTCTACTTCCTTTTGGATTTTGGAAGATTTTTAAATAGTGGCAAATCATCATTCCACCTATCATTCCAAGTGAAAGACTTCAGACCTGATTGATTGATGGTTTTCTTCTTGTGGTATAGTTGAATATGAGGTCAATTATGATGTAGATAACAAGTGGTATGGTAGGGAGATCTGCTGAGTAGCAGCACTGTTACCAGCTTAAATTATGATTCGAAATCCGCATTTGGGACCTTTTCATGAACTAAGATGAGTAAACTCATGTCGTTTCTCTATCCAAATTCTGAAAAAAAATTGGTTATTAAATCGTTTTATTCTAAAAGTTTGGTTGGACTTTGGGAGAGTAGGGATTTCCCAAATCATCCCATTCTCTCCCTCTTTTGTTCTTTGGTTTTGCATAATGCACTGTGGTGCCTCTCTTTTTGCAATGAAGCTTATTTTGTTCATCCCAAATTGGAGGTCTCTTAACACCATATGTGTTTGTTAGGAGAAGAATATGTTTGAAAGTGTGTATTTGTGTGTGTGTGTGTGTTATTTGTGTGTGTGTGTGTGTGTGTGTGTTATGTGTTTGAGAGAGACAGAGAGTTCATAATTCACCCTTAAATAATTGTTCTTGCTTCAGGTTCGCCATGGTCCCTGCTTTTATGATTGCACCTTCAAGATAGAATCACGATGTGATGAACATGAAGATTCAGCTCTTATCCATATATCAGAAGACGATCAAGGATTGGCAGCTGGGCAATTTGCTGCCTTTTACCGTAAAAATGTTTGCATCGGGTCTGGCATTATCTTGGAGTCATGGGATGATCAAAACTTTTCAGTTTGCTCCAAGGCTCTTGAGAGAGCAAAAATGGAGGACAAATCTAAATTGGGTTTACCCATCAAAATTAAGGTAAAATCTGAGCCCAATCCAAAGGGTTTTGATTGTAAAGACAATGAGCTTTTGCTTGCAGAGCCCAAAACTGACGAAAAGCTGAGTGTAGCCATGGATTGGTTTCAGAGACTAAAAACACAATGGTTGCATTTATTCTAATTCAGTATTTTCTGGGTTTTACTAGAAATTTGTTCAGGGTTGGTGTGTGTGATTCCCTTCGTTTCATTTTTGGATTTTAAGCAGCTGATAATCGCGTCATTTGAGGCCATGGATTGCGCGTATAATCTTCTAATCACAAGTGAGTAAGGATGGAGTAACTGATAACCTTATATGATATGAAGTGTATTAAACTATTTGGTGAATGGTTTAGTTTCTTTTCTTTGGGCAAGAATGGATTCATTAGCGAATGCATCTTGTTGAATGGGAAACTACTCATTTTGACAAAATGAAATCTTGACTTCTGAAATCAAATCAAATCAAATCAAATTGGATGAGCAAATTCATGTTTCTCACCGGTAGGACAAAAGTTCATTAAGTTCTTTCCATTTTGTCATAGAACGAAAATGTTTGTTATACCTTCACAATTAGCTATCCACTTGCATCAAGTGTATTAAGTTTTTTCCAAAATTTAACTCTGGTGGTTTTATCCTTAGTTAAGAAAAGATAATTTAGCTTGGTTTGGTTTGGGCGCAAAAACCTCAAGGATCCAACTCTTCATCCACACCCAATGATGACTTGTTAAGTGCATTGTTGTTGTCCTTTAACATTTGATCAATACTTCTATTTGTTGTTATCTTTTGCATTTCTAATGCGCCAAGAGGTATGCAAGGAGTATTTTGGTCATTTAGGAATGGACTCAAGGTTTGGTGATTAAGGTGGCGGGATACTGACTTCTTGAGTTCCATAAAAAAAAAAGAAAAACACATGGGAAAGCTTTCAATGTTCCCCCTACAACATAGAAGTTCTATGTTCCCCCTATCATCCAGCCGTCCATTTTTTATCAAGAGAGTCACTCATCGTTTGATCTTAGATCTGATGTTTCAAAGTATTTTATTTTTAGTTTTTTTAATGCAATTTTTTTGAATATGAAATTTGGTACATGCCATCTTCTCATTGGGGTGCACCTATAAAAAATATTAACAATGATTTTTTGATAAAAAATAATGATCAAAATACCTTTTAAAACTTTCAAGAATATTTTGGTCATTTTATTTTATTGAAAATATTTTTTTTTAATATATTTTTCCTTTAGTGCAATATTAATATAGGAACGGACGTCCACAATTTGGTGTAAAAAAAGTTTATAGAAAAAGTATTAAAAATAAAACAGTGTGGAGACGTGACATTGTGATTGAGGCAATCTTAGTCCTCCATTAAAAAATGGACGGTTGGATAAGAAGGAACATAGAACTTCTATATTACAGGGGAATATAAAAATAGAACTTCTATATTGGAGGGAACATAAAAAGCTTTCCCATTAGTTATTTTGAGTCAGGAACATAAAAAGCTTCTATATTGGAGGGAACATAAAAAGCTTTCCCATTAGTTATTTTGAGTCAGGAACATAAAAAGCTTTCCCATTAGTTATGTTGAGTCATCAAACTACCTTGGTGAATCAGTTGCCAAGGACATTGAAAGGTCGGAGAATGTGTTTCTTTGAGGAGATAAGGGTGTTTTGGTCATTTTCATCTGTGAGGTTTTAGTCAAAAATGTTTTTGTACAATCGTGCCTCTACTCAAGATACGTGCACCACTTTTAACCGTGATTTAAAATGAGGTTTTGATGAGGTACCTACCTTATACTCTACAAGTATGGCCTTCCAGTAGATTTTGTTAAACCTTAGGACGGCTTGAAAAACAACTGTAATTATAAAAATTTAAAATTTTAAAATGAGGTAAATCAAGCTGATTTATGAACACTTGAAAATCTAGATGTTTAAATAATTTTGTATTGGATAAACTATTTTTAAGATTTAAAATAAATTTTTTTTTTTTATATCTATACAACTTGACGTCAGCACCCGGACTCGACCCTACACTCGAGGGGTAGATTTGATCTGGGTCCGAGTATGGATCCAAACATTATTCAAGCCTAGGTTCGGGTTCAGGTTCCAATTCTGGTTTCAGTTCTGATTGGGTCTGGGTTTGGTCCCATACTATATTTTTGGGTCTGGATTTAGATCTAGAGAATTCAGGTCTAGTAGGGTCCGGACCCGTTGCCACCCTTGGGTTTGTCTGGAGTCGAAGCCCTAAATAATCAAAGTAAAGCGCACCTTCAAATAGTATTGAGAAATGTGATTTCAATATGGAAAATCTTTGTGACAACATTAAAATATATTTTCATCTCTAATTATAAAATTTCAAGTTTTAAAAAGTAGTATAGATAAGGCGGATCTATAAAAACTTAAAATTCTTGAAAATTGATGATCCAAAACTGTATTACAAGACGCACTATTTTCAAAACTTGAAATCCATTTTCTTCTCATGTCCATGCATCTTGATGTTTAGATGATGAATTTGAAGATTTGGGCATCAAAATAACATCTTCTAGTGAAATTTTTGAGGTGTGCTCTAAGTTGATTCTTTAGAGCCTCGGCTCGATATAAACTTTGTCCAGTTTTAGTGCGCGGTTCAAATTTTCAAATGATAAATTTCCAGTCAAGCCGCAAAACTATGGGCATCTCTGCAATAGTTTCAAGAATTATGGGGAATTTTGTATTATGGACTTACGATGAAGTTGCCGTTAGGAAAAAGGAGAACCTAACAGTCCACGTCTATCGTTTATCCAAAGAAGACGTCCTTCCATCATAATCCCTAAATTGACACTAATTTTTTTCCAAAATGACAAGAACTTCAAATTTCATTAAAATTTCTAGGTAAGCCCCGGGTACTCAAATATTCATTAACCGCTTCTCATTCTCAACTGACACATATAAAACCCGTTGTGCTGGATCAGGAATTGTCGATTCGGGTTGTGCTGGATGCAATTGCCGATTTAGATCGGGAATCAATTCAATTCTTATGGACTCCCTTGGTTCATATTTATAATGGAAATGGTCAGTCCGGACTTGCTGGAATGCCTTATTTCCACATGTAATTGAATAAAGAATGTCCAATTTTTGGACAACATAGTCTAAATGTTCAAAAAGTTAAAAACCAACTTTCTTTTCAGAACATACTCATTTGTTTAAAGAGTGCAGCTCAGAATGTAAAAGAAAAATCCTCTAAATTAGGTCTCTTACCCGAGGGAATAGGTGTGTACAGTTTGCTCTAGCGAGAGCACTGTACTCAAATTTGAGAAAATTATTTTTCCTCACATACCACCATCTCTAGAAAGTCTTCAAAGCGAAGTTATGTAATCCTCATGACCATACGAATTTACTTACTGATGTCATCACCGGCCAACAACAGATGGACGATGGAGAGATGGAAGAGGGGGACCGTCCCAAAATCAAACTCCCCTAAATGGTGGTTCCCTACTCCCTCTTCATCACCGCACGATAATTCGTTCAACGACGATAAATCCTCATGACTATCCATGAGGCTCATAATACAGTCCCACTTTTTAACACAACAAAATGCTTTTTAGTCATTTTAAAAAAAAGGATACATTGGGTATTAGGTTTAAAAGCAAGGCCGGTTTTGTCCTTTCGAGAAAGTACCAGTTCACATGTAAGTCGATTTTCCCATATAAAGAACGTCACAGCCCCACAACGCTTCGGCTCAATCCATTTTTTAGAGATAGAGAGAGAGAGAGAGTTCTAGGATTTCTGGTGGAGAAAGAACATTTTTAGAGAGAGAGAGAGAGTGAGTTGGGGTTCTAGAGAGAGAGAGAGAATTGGGGTTCTAGAGAGAGAGAGTATTGGGGTTCTAGACAGTGTGTTGGGGAGAGAGACTGTGTTTTCCCAGAGTATTGCCTAGTAGAGAGCAGTAGCAAACCAGCAATTGTAGAGAGAGAAAGAGTGTATTTGGCCTTTAAGAAAAGAGTGGGGTAGAGAGAGAGTATTGAGTCTTTAAGAAAGAGTTGGGTCCTTCAGAGACAATCTTATGTATTCGGGGAGAGAGAGAGGGAAGTGGGTATTTTAGAGAGAGAACATTTGGGTTTTTTGAAAAGAAAAAAAAGAATAAATTGGATATTTTCCATTGTTGGGCTTGTGGAGATGATGCAACTCCTATTTGCTCTAGCCTTCTCGGCCGCACCCCTCACTCTGTACGTGCCCCCCGTCAGAAGCTTCACCCTCTTTGTAGAGACCATAGAATCTTTCATACGCAATATGTTGACTCATACTCTCAGGGCTTATCCTCGCATACGCGTTGGGTGCACAAGAGTCATACGATCCTTGATCCGAAGGTAGATAAATACCCTCACCATTTTTCACCTTTTTGGGTTTTTTTTTTTTCCTGTAATATGTCTCTGTCATAGATCTAAGCTGTATAGGCTTGGTTATAGTTCTTGGATCTTGGGTTTGAAGAGTGTATTGTATTTGTACCATACTGCCTTGGTGTAGGTTTTTGTGAGAATAAGGGGAATTAATTGAATGGGGTTCTCTTTCAATAAATTGGATCTTGGGTCTATATAATTGATAATGAATTGTAGTGTAACATTTCCGAGAGATTGTAAATGTAATGAATCGGGATTCAGAAAATAAAAGTGAAACTTTGTAGAGGCCTATTAAGCATTTCTTTAATTTCAGCCCAGCTCAAAAAAACTAGAGCGTGTGCCATAAATATGGCCTGAGAATCCGGCCATCACGGCAGTTTTTTTTTCCTACTTTCCATTCTCCTAAAACAAACGAAGTAGGCTTCTTTTTTATGGACCCGGTTTAAATGAGGCGCCTCTTAAAAATTTATTTTTGAGATTGATATTTGGACTTAATTTTTAATGACATGTAATCTCTAACATGGAGATCCTGAATATGAGAAAATAAATAAATTTTAAAACTTAAAAATAATAATTTTATAAAAAATATTTGGACAGTTAGTTTTAATTATTTTTAGATGAACCACCTATTCGCATCGATTTTTGATGTTTTATACCTCTGGACTGTAAAAATGCGGTGAAACAATTTTTTTTTTTTATATATACTTATAGAGAATTTCACCATAATTTCACTAAGTTTATGGTCCTTGACCAGGCAGAATATCGTATGACTCATTCCTTTATTGATGGTTAAAAAAATTCATGAATTATACATT